GGGCCAGAGACAACAATTTTATCGTGTTTTATTTTTTGCATCAGGAAGTCAACCAGGAAAAATAAACCTGAAAGAGAGGGTGGAAGCAGGGGGCTCCTCTGTATCCTTCAGCTCAGGAAGCAAAGGCAACAATATTAAAAATAAACAGAAAAGGGGGACGGGAATAAGACCTGTAAAAAAATAAAATAAAATAAAACAGGGAAAGGGGAAAGTAGGTAGCAATTGCTATTAAGAGAAAAGAAATGTAGAGAACAAATAAGGGAAGCTAAAGCTATCAGGGTATATTCCTGGCTGGCAGGACTAAAGACAAGTCATTTTTTTAAATATATCAGGAACAAAGTAAAACCTCAAAATTGGATAGGCCCATTACCAGCTGTCGATGTACTAACTAGCTAAAGGGGATGATGAAAGAACTTCCCGACCTTTTATGATAGAAAGGATGGGGGAAAAAACTCCCTTGATTATGAAGAATAATATTTTTAATGTATAACACTGACATTGTAATTGTTTCCAATAATTCTTTTTAAAAAAATGAAAATGAATTCTCCTGTTTCGGAGTTCGCACAAATGTCTGCAGTCAGGCATCAGTGATGGACTAGCTCCCTGTGCCTTTCAGTTTGAAATAAAACATCATATTATTCGTGGATATCATCACAAGTTCTGAGATTGCCCTTTCTTCCCACAGGCGAGTGAGAGACTGATTGTCAGAGCAGGATCTCTCGGTGTCGGGACGATGTCCCGCATTTCTAACCCCAGTGGATGCTGCATCATTGAGCGTCTCATGCAACGTTTCCTTTGGCTGCAAAGAGTCTGATCCAGAGAAACTCCAAAAGAGCAGGGTATAAATTGAAAGAAGAACCAGCAGCCCTTGAATTCCCCCATAAAGTTGGTCCTTTCTCTCCTTTGAATTAAACCAAGCTTCTCTTAGATCTGCTAATCAATTATGTGAGGTGGTGGTGTGGGAGTAGGTGGGGTGTGGGCTGTTATGGTCTCCATAAACATCCATTTCCTTTAACTTTTTTGTTTTTTGAGAGAAAAAAAATGAACAGCTTATTAAAGAATCCCTGCTGCATAGTAAGCCACTTGAGGTGTTTTGCAGATGTGTCTTCATGTGTCTCTATGAACTCCCCTGTGCACATCTGTATCACCCTATCACGCTCTTTATCACTCCCTTACACATGCTATGACCCATCCCAGGTTGAGGTGTCAGAGGAGCTAGCTCAGTCATCGTGTGTGCACGTTGCTCATCCTCTATGCCCTTGGGTAGCCAAGCAGTCCCCCTGCCCTGAAACCTGGTGCCAGAGTCTCCAGATGTGGCAATAACCGGCAAGCTCCTTTGCAGACGTTGAAGGACAGCACAAAGCTGTCAGGCAGAGAGACTTCTGAATAGTTCCCCAACACAAGTCCATGCCATAGTGACTGTGAATAAATGGGCTGGATTCGGTTCCTGTTCGGCTGATGGGGGCAGAAGGGAAAAGCGGTGAGATAAATACACTCTCCCGTACTGATTTACGTGCAAAAGACAAGACCCTGTAGAAAGAGGGTGAGGGGCTCCTGGCCAGGCCCCTCTGCCACTTGGACACAGCATTAGTTGAAGGGGCATGCATTAGGTGCCTCGGCCTGCAGCAACGCATGTGCTGTGACCTCTCTAGAAATCTTACCCCAAAGGAGCCGGATCCTGCTCCTCTCACCCTCCAGGCTTTCCCACCGCAGTCCTCGTGTGGGAGCCTGGCCTCAGCGCTGAAGGCCCAGCCTGGCTTTGGGAAAGCTGAGCAAGGCAAGCATCAGGATGAGCTGCTCTGGGTGGGATGAGACCTGCGATAAGCATCCCTCCTACAATCCCCTTTCCCCACCTCCATCCCCAACCCCGAAGCACAACAGCTCTGTGACTCTGCATGACCCAGGGTACAGTCCAGTGTGTATGCACAGTGAGATCTGCGCTGGATTGGCATTTCCAAGTGCTGCACTGCTGTAGTTACTCCCAGTCATCCCTTGATGGCAGATAAGCAATACCCCTGCTAAATGCTGCATCCCAGACACCGGTTTAAAAGGCTGCACAAAACGGGAAGCTCACACAGTTGAACTCAAGAAAGCTGCAAAGCAATAGGGGGGGATCAAGACCCCCCCAGGTTATGATTTTCAAATCTTATGGGAGGCTTTTCTCTTATGGGGGGGGAACTCAGCCCCCCCTCCCCCAGCTCCCCTGTAATTCGCACCCGGAAGTTAAGAAAAAGGATATTTCGGTTGATTTTGACTCTCTAAACCTCCTACAAGCATTGCATTGGGCAGTGTCCTAAATGCCGATGAACTCAGGCCCTGGTTGGAGGGCTCATATTTTGAAAGCTTGCCGGTGAGTGTGACGGCCCCCAGGAAGAAATCCTTTGGGCTAGATCCGAACCAGCTGGGCAGACTGGAAGCAGGAAACTGGACTACTGAGCAGCAGACAGTGCAAGAGTTATGGGCTGGAAGGACTGCAAAGGAGATAGAGGGGAAAATCCCCTCGTGCTTTACATGTGTATGTGGTGTGTAACCAGCTCTTTGGCGCTTACACCCATTTTGGGATTCTGCTCCTCCCTGCCGCAAAACACATTGCACTGCGCGTGGACCTGCTGGAAGTGAAACAGAGGAGGAAAAGGAAGCCGCTGGCACCTTTTAGCCCCATAGCTAGGACAAGTGCCAAGGCAGCAGAAGAGCTGCATCCTTGGTCTCCCTCATCCAGAGGGGATTTGAACCTGCATCCCCTGCTTCCCACTAAAGTTCTCCATGCCCCAGGCCTCATATTGACTCTTCATTACATAAAATGAATAAATAGCACTGGGAAAATTCCTGACCAGATGGGAGCAAACCTAGGCCTTAGACTACCTTCTCATCCAGGGCTGCAGCTATCCCAGTGAGCCATGCACTCTCCAGTTGGTACTCTCTCCCCCAGCCTCAGCTACATGCTGCTCTTAGCTGCCAGCTGCAGAAGTTAGATGTTGATTTGCCATCTGCTGGCTCCTGCCCAGCACAAGTGTCTCTGCATCAAAGGATAGTTTGAAAGCAGTTTGCCAGATTTTTTTTGTCTTTGACCACCTATAATTCAGCCAATGTTGAATGGACCTTTAGGAGTGCTGCAAAGCACCTCTCTTATCATTAGGGCTAGGCCAAAGCCCAAAGTAAGTTTTGCTGCACATTGCAGAGGCATTTCAGGGTCTTTAAAAACTTAGAATAAGTTAGCATCAAGCAATTCATTAACAGGCATGATCAACAGAGGCTCATACCCATCTTTCTCATTTATTACTCCATGTTATACACCTGTGGTGAGCTGACCTGCAGTTGGATCTTTTCTTACCTGCAGGGATCTGGAGCATGAAGATGAAAACAGCAAAGAAAAAGTAAAGGATCCTCGTGGCAATAGATGCTACCAAGAGAGAGGTGCTAGAGAAGGACTCTGTACAGGACTCTGAGGAGTTTAAAAGACTGAGCTCTACGGAGCCTCTGTGAATTGAAACAGCACGTAGAATATATTGCAATACACTGTAATTGCAGTGATGTGATAGGGCTGCGGTAGGTTAGCAATGAAGAGTATTGGCTCTATAGAACTGCAGATACTTTCAGAGCCTTCCCTGGAAATATTGCTCTGTGAGGAAATATCCACTTTAAGCACATATCTGGTAAGTAATTTTAATTTGCCTGCTACTTCTAGCCGGCTTCACGTGGGTCTTTGCATCTCAGTTCCCTTGACCAAAGTGCAGACTGGAATCATTTTGCATGTTGGTTTATTAGCCAAAATAGGATTAGAAGCAAAGAAACAGTTACAGAAAGCAAAATAATGGCAGAGGATCCTGCCTATGGGAGGATAAGTTCTCCATGTGATGGCAAGCTATACCAAAAGCAATAAATGAACTCAGGAAAATCCTGGTCTTCTCACTGTCCTGTGACTTCAGCAAAGCTGATCCTAGGTGTTTATTTATTAGACTGAGCAGGTGACTTTTTGGTACCAACATGCAGCACTACGTCCCTAAGTGCAGACTATTATCCACCTTGTGTCAGCTATGTTCACAATGAAATTATGGGCCTGTCTGTGGGGGTTTGACCAGACCACGCTAACATGAAAATAGGACCACAGCAGTGACTTACATGCTTAGAAGGACCCACCTATTAATTATGACATGCTACATCTCACATATAATATGTAGACAGTGGGATAAACTATCACAGTTTCTTCAATTTTTACAGTATTCTGTGCTCTGTTATTTCTATTACATGTGGATATACGGGCAAGGATTTTACACGAGGATATATATGTAAAGACAGAGGCGCACTCTTGTATACATGCACTCTCCGTATTTCATATGCAAGTTTGCAGAGTAGATGTATATATCAAGAGATCTCTGTGAAATGTGAAGCCAAACAGCTGATATGAAATGCTATGCTAATGGCTTTATAACATTTTAGGATGGTTCACCTACGTAAGATATTCACATTTCATTGTGTGTTCTGTATTAGAAAACAAATTAATTGTTGTGTCTCTTTTAATTATTAGATGTTGTTCTGCCAGTATAGCAACATCTTTCTGTGTATTTATTCATTACATTTCTCTTTAAAAATACCAGATCCTGTTCCACCTATTGGGCTCCTAAGTGAACTCAGTATGTAAGAGCTATTTTATTTCTCCCCACCAAGTCCTGGCAAAACCATGAATGCAGACACTTTTCTAACATGCTGTCTTCTTTGCCATAAGACTGCATCACAACCATGCACGAAGGAAGAGGAGGACCCATCCACTTTTTGCATTAACAGTTTCTCAGGGACTCGAGCAGGGCAGAAAAGCATTGTGCTTAGGTGTCAAAGTCCCTTTAGGGGCCTAATAGGTGTACAAGGATCTGGCCCATTTTCTAAAACTTTTGCTATGCTCCTTTGAAGGCGATCACCTTCACAATGAAACTTCCTCCAGCGGCAGGGCTGTTTTGCAGAATTCTTAAGGTGGCTTTTTATTTTTGATATAACTCCCAATTGTTGCCACAAACTGCTCTGTAGAGTAAGAGGTCGATCTTCTGTATGTCTGTAACGAACATCTAGGCATAAAACATGCAACACCGAAGAAGAAGGAAATGATAGAAAATGCAGTGAGTTCCCCATTCAGCAAGGGTATGGTAGCCTTTGGTTACTCAGTCTAACTCCTCTCTATAACAAAGCAGCAGCACATGTTATTTGACAAGTCGAGCTTAGACATAAGGACTGCAGCTTCTACCTACCCGGCTGTACTTGATGGCATCAAGAACGAATTCAGATGACTGATTGCAAATGACTGATCCTTGCAAAAAAATAAAATGCTTTTGGGTGACATACCAGCTCCATGGGAATGCCTGAGAGTTTTATCATTGAATCGACATTTCTGTAGTGTCTTCTATCACTAGCCCTGGCTCTCTGCCCACTAGCACACAGTGGTACCAGGCAGGTGCCCTTTATGGCAGTGGGATTTTCGTGGCAATGCAAGACCCATAGTCAACAGAAGACAACAGTTGAAGCTGTGGTCCTTCAGAGGTAGGGGGTTATAAACCTCCCCCACTAATTGCCCTGAAATTTCTGATAGCTAATCCAATGGTTGGTTGGCTGGAGGGAATTGTTATTGCAGGATCACAATAACCTCATGGGATCTGTGATACACCAAAAGAGAAAATGCAGTCCCCTGGCATAAATCGGTACTGCTCTTTCTCTGCAAAACCAAGGGCCTGATTCTGATCTTCCCTACATCAGGTTTAATAACCAGGGCTCCAGCAGAGCTACTTCTGACTTACATGGATGGGTGTAATGGGAACAAGAATCCAGCCCTGGAGCAGCTTGGTCTAAATGCTATTGCTCTGCTTCTCTGTGGTCCTCTTTTGGTGAATCACGGTGAGATCTCTGCATACATGAGGATCAGTGGCTTTGTGCTCTCATTTAATTTCCGCAGCAGAGCCAGGTCCTATGGGCACTCTGGCCATCCAAAGGGGAAGTGAAGGCTGTGAGGTTCACAAGAAAGTAGGGCAGAGGGAGCAGCAAGCTGTCCTGGAGCACAGAGAAAGTGCTGAAATGCTGATGGATGCAGCTTCTTGGAAACCATGGCCAGGAAGGATTTCTAACAGGAAAAAAGAAGGGATTCGAGTCTAAGCACTGGAGCTCACTGAGACCTACAGTGATGTTGGCAGATGTGTTCGACAAGGGTAATTAAATTTCTACAGACACGTTCTACAGGGTATTTTAATTTCTGCTCTGAATGAGATAAAACATGGATTTCTCAGGAAAGCATGAAAGAAACACCCCCACCTCACCTCCCCAGCAAGGGACACGCGTGTGTACGTCACCAATATAATCTCACGGCAGCTCGCTTTTATTCAGAGGGGATCGAGATGTGCATCATGAGTGGATACAGGGGCCTCCTTTTGGAGTTTCTCCAGACTGTGAAGTTCTTTGCAGCCCAAAGAAACAGTGCTTCACATTTGGTTTGATACAGGAACCAGTGATCTTACAGGTGAGGTAGCTCTCCCAAGTCCCCCCAGATCCTGGCCAGATCATCTGCCACTTCAAATCCTGCACACAAAAAAGAGAAGTCTTAGGGTTGCTGGTGATCCACAGCATGGTAGGCTGCCGCCATGGTCAGTGGCTGACAGTCTGGGACAGACCATGCTGACCGGTGCAGGCTGCAGACCTAGCTCAAGCCTAAGTAAGTAATAAAATGTGCTTAAAAGTTTGCATAAGCTTGCTTTGAAGCTATTACCAGTAGCCTAGGAAAGACGATTAAAAACCCTGTTTACCAAGGCCACTAATGTTAGGCTAGACCAAGAGTGAACAACTGCATTTTGGAAAGTAGTGATCAAACGTATTAACCTTGTCTCCAGTCTTCGTGGCTCTCCTGCCCCTGCTGCAGCAGATTGTTCAGGGCAAAGATTGGGCTTATAAATCACCTGCGTATGCATGCAACCTAGCCTCTGCTGCCCTTGCCTCTCTTTTCTTTCTCTTCTTTCTCCTTTTTCCTCTCTTTCTCCCTCCTAAAGACTGAATGGTCCCAAGTTTGTGGTAACAGCACCTGGGAGGATCTGGCCCTTGATTTCAACTTGAAAAGTGATGGGGGGACAGGGTCACTGCAGAGATACTTGGTTATCTCCTGGCCAAGGGGTTTCTTTCCCTACTGCAGCCTTATAGCTCAGAGGGGAGTCAAATCGATTGAGGCAGGGGAACTGTCTCTTGACCTTGCTGAAACAGGAAAAGCAGACTTCAGAAAACCAGTCTCCCCTTGCCCTGCAGCACAATCCCGTAGATTCTTGAACATACCTTTGACAGCAATTACCCAGTTGGTTACAACTTCCAATGTACTTGGTGTTTGGGGGACACGTGTGCTGGAAGCATTGCCCTTTGCGGCTCTGGCAGTGAAAATAGCCAATCTTGGGGAATCCTGTGCAATGAAAAACCCTCTTCACTATCATGGGACAGAGCAGGGTAAATGCAGCAGCGATTGCAGGGTGGCTGACATTTCTCATTCACTGAACAGCCCGCTTCCTGAGACCCATCCAGGCCGGCCCAGTGACCCACCTCTCCTGAACCTTCAACATCATTAGTTGTCTTGTTACTTAAAGAGCTGCAGCCCTGTAACCATGGGACAGGAGCTGCTAGGAGGAAGAGAGGGAAGGGATGGGAATAGGCCATTGCCTTCATGGACGATTTCCTTTCCGACCTGCTGCCTGGGCTGTGACTCTTTGCCCCTCCGAGCGGTGATGTTTCAAGCCGTATCGTGAATGCCAAGGCTGAGCTGGCTCAACAGAGGCATCGAGGGCTTCAAAAACCCTTTTAAGTTTGAACCATCCTTGAGAGCTCCTGGGGACACTTGGCCTTTGGAAATAGCTTTTGACCCAGATCTTCGAATTTCAGGTACTCACTGAAATGTGGCCAAAAGACCCACTGCCAAATCACAATGCTGGACTTATTTTATGAGATAAGGAGGAAGTGCCATTTCCCCACATTTATGTCCCACCACCACAGATCAGCTGCCACCCTAACTTAATGCCTAGCCCCCTTTGCACAAACTGCCCCAACCCCAGATGATGCCTTTTCTAGACATGAAGTTGGGATGAATTATCATAACCTGATCTGTTCACAGGCAAGGTCAATAAGGGTTTGCATTCATCCTCCTTGATTATCCCTCCGCTTCTTACCTGCAGCAAGCTGGAGCATCAAGATGGAAACAGCAAAGAGAAGGTAAAGGACTCTCATGATGGCAGATCAGCCAGGAGCTCTGCTATGTAGAAAAGGCACCACGATAGAGGAAAAGTAGAGACTCCTTCTGCAGACAGAATTTGGGGGTACTTAATAGACTGCATCCTACTCAGCCTCCAAATCTAAATGGCACCTCAAAATACTCAGGTACAATTTCTTAGTACTACTGACAAATATTCTCTGTCTAATACTACACAGTCCCATCAAACCTTTCATGGAAAAACATGGCCTATGAGAAAATCCATTGTATAATACACATTTAGTGAGTCATTTTTATCCACCTGTTACTTCAATCAGGAACGGGCAGATTGCACAAGGGCAGATGGGGGGGTTAGTGCATGTGGATGCGGTTTATTGGGCAAGATCCCATTTAAAGCAATGAAGCAATTCCAGAAAGCAGAAGGAAGGTGGTTAAGGATCTCATCTCAGAAGCATGTAAGAACAAATTCATTAGGTGAGGTAACAGTTCACAAAAAGATCAAAGGTCCAAACCACTAACACAACACAGTTGGTCCAATACAAGATATCTGCCCAAGAAATGCTTGCCTCTCACACAATTAAAGCAAGACTTTATCACAGGCAATTTTCTTTCACCTGTTTTCTCTTCTACTGGGAATTTACTTTGGGAGCAACATGGCCATTGAGCCCCAAAAGGCACACTCTCATGTGTTTGTGATAGTTTCATAGTTTCTAGGGTCAGAAGGGACCTGAGCAGATCATCTAGTCCGACCCCCTGCCATGGCAGGAAGAGCACTGGGGTCAAATGACCCCAGTAAGGTGGTCATCCAACCTCCTCTTAAAAACCCCCTACGTGATCACACATACCCTCCCTTGGAAATATAGGATTGCCTCCAGTAGTTCTTCAAAGAAGTCTCATGTGAATTTGAGGATATCAGACTGGTGACTTCTGTGTAAGAATGACAGTTACTTATGACATACAAAAATTAACCAGAGCATACAAAAAGCAATGTAAACTGTCACACTTTCCTTGGAAGTTTTGCCACTGTGGTGAAAGGTAAATGCATCATCCAATTTAAATAAAATGCTTGCTATTTGTCCTTTCCATCGTTTTCCCCCAGGCTCCAATTTTCTCAGAAGCAGTTCTGTTACCCAAACCACCGCGACACTCGGACAAACACAATGCCCACTTTTTTCCTATTTATCCATAAAAGCTGGCAGAAGAACTGGTACAATAATACTGCCCCAAATCACCCTCCCAGTTTCATCGGCTTGACCAAATGTTCATTGAGGGATGCCATTCACCTGCCTGCTGGATCTTGTTCTCCTTCGAGACTTCACAGTGGTCCCTCTGGATAGCACTTTACAGGACGGAGTCAACAGGGCAAATATCAGGAAAAAAAACATACCGGACGAGAGGTGGTCCCGGCCAGAGGAAGACTGTCCCGCTCTCTCTTTCAAACATTTCACCCTCCCGGGGAGAACGTGGTCCTGAAACAGTCCTTTTTATATCATTTCCAAAAGCCATTGTGACATGGTTCCTCTCCTTGGAAATGATGTCTTAGACCATCAAAATACCATTCATGCTTCTAGCCAAGCTTTGAAACATCCAACCGGAGGGTGAGTTGTCCCATCTTCCCAGCCAATAAGAAGGTGAGGTATCAACTGAATTGTTGCAGCTTAGTCTTGGGAAAATTTGTGCAAACCATCACGTGTCGTTCCGGTTTGGTAAGAACCGTTAGACCAGAGCGGCTTGTGCAAAACGTCTTGGGACATCCATGGGGCATTGGCGAGCTTAGCTCTATTGCCTCCTTCCTCATCTCTCTCTCCAAGTTTCTCTATCGTGTGGTCCGCAGGCACCTTGGCCAACACGGCTCATGTCCAGCCCTAGAGGGCTGCTTCCCCGTCAGTCATGGAGCTGTCTGCAGACATGTCCATTCAGCAGTCAGCAGATTCTCCGTGGAAAGTCTTTTCGTGCTCCTTGCCAATTCGGGACTTGTTCCATGCTTCATCATGCAGATACATCAGCCAATTTCCCTCGTTGAACGGTTCAGTTCTCAATAATATTTATGTCTGCATTTACACCTGAGAGGATATATGGGATTAGCGACTTGAAAAAGAACAGGGCGAGAAGGGACTTCAGGAGGTCATCAAGTTCAGTGTCCCGCTTAAAGCAGGGACATCCCTGTCTAAACCATCGCATCCAAGTGTTTGTCTAACCTGCTCTAAAAGACTCCTAGTCACTGGACCTGCACCATCTCTCCCAGCTCAAAGGAATGCTTCTTTCCGGCGTCATTAGATGATCTCTGGAGGTCCCTCTGAGATGATATGCTTTCTCGGGGATTATCAGATTCTAAATTGGCTCCGGTGCTGAAGCAGCCTCGTAGTTCAATGCTTCTTTCTGAAACCCCCTTGCGACCATCTTCTTGCTGCCTGTTAGTTCATTCCTGTCCCCTGTCCACCAGAGCACTATTTATCACCATGCTTTTTATAGCAGCCTTTTTTTGTATTTGAAAACTCTTCTCGAATTCTCTTTTCTGTCTTTGCCTCTCCAGAATATGGAGCCCCTGCCCCAAGCTTTTCTCATAGGTCATATTCCAGTTATTAGCCTTTTTTCCCCCCAGCCTTACTGTGCTGTTAAGTCAGAGTCAGCTTGTGGTCTACTATACCTCCCTGTCTTTTCTTCTGCCACTCTGCAGCTCACCCAGTCATCCCCAGTCTATTACTAGACATACAAGGTGCTTTGGGTAGATGTGATACCTTTTATTAGACCAACTAAATAGTGGAAAAATAGTTCCTTGCAAGCTTTGGGGCACAAACGCCCTTCTTTAGGCAGAGGTGGAGGTTGTAGCCATGTTGGTCTGAGGACGTAGGCAGACAACGTTCTTTGGGTGAATCTGATATCTTTTATTAGACCAACTAAATAGTTGAAAAACAATATTTAAGCAAGCTTTAGGCAGAGGTTTTATGATGATGATGATTACTGTGCATTTGAGTCGTCCATCCAACAGGCACAATTTTGCACTTATTGAACTTCAGAAACCTCTGCCACCAGGCCACACAATAGACCTTGCAGGCCATTTGGTTCCCTTTGGATCCACTTACAACTGGATGCAGGGGAGGAGGGAGGGCAATCTAAAAAAGAACATTTTGGTTTAAAGTAGGATTTGTGTCATTGCACTGCCACGAGGGCCCGGCAGGTGGTGCTGGGAAGCTGCAGGTCTCTCCTTCCAGGTGGGTGTATCATACGCAGGAGCATCTCCCCACAGCTGGCAGGGTCTAGTCCAGTGATGTTCAACCCGTGGTCTGCAGACCCCTGGGGGTCTAGAGACTATGTCTAAGGGGTCCACAAAAGATAACTATGATCAGTCAAAAGTATGTGAATACCCACATGTACCCCCATTTGAAATGGGGATCCGCACTCCCATTTGAAATTTCTGAAGGGGTCCCACACCTCCATTTGACTTTTTTTTAGAGGTCTGCCAATGAAAAAAGGTTGAAAACCACTAGTCTAGTCTGTCACCTCATCCCTGGGAGCTGTGGGTACAATGGGAGGCACTTTATTTGCTCTCTCTCTCTGCTTCCTGAGGACAAAGCCCTACCCCAACTCTAAAGAGCTTCTCATCCTCCAAGGAGCACTTTCTTCCTGCTCACACTCCTGCTCCACACGCCCCAGACCTGTAATCCTAGGAGGTCCTGAAAGAGCCCAGATATACCAGGTACACCTGGACACCAGATACCCCATGGAAGCCACATGTGGGAGACAGGGAGGATTTATTGATGGGACGCTGTTTCAGGCAGGTCCATTCCTTCCATCCTGGGCACTCGCGTGGTCTCTTACCGACGTATCCAAACACCTTACAATCTTTCCTTTGTGTATTTTAGCATCCCTGAAGCCCTACAAGGTTGGGCAGTCCCCTTCTCTTCACCTTACACTAGGGCTAAGGGATAAATCTGCAAAGGGATTTAGGCACTCGACCACTGTAACAGAATCCACTGGCCTGAGTGAGGCACCTGGGTCCTGTATCTAGACCCTGGGGGAAGTTAGCAAGGGACCCGCAACAGCCAGCACTATTAAGACTGCATTTGCCAGGCCTAGAAGCAGATCCTTCCAGGCTGTACTATTAGCCAGTAGGCTGCAGGGCTCAGGTTAAATTTTATATTTAAATTAGCTAAGGAAATGTAATTTAGTTTGCTGAATGGGCAGCGTAAGGTCTGATTATTGTGCTCCTATCCACAAGCACAGACCAATCTTCCTGAAAGCCATGATTTAAGCAAAGAGGAAGAACAAGAGAGGCACAAAAGGCGAGCTTTGTTAGCGTGGAACGTGGCCAAGGTGAGACAAAAGAGGGGAACGGATATGCTCATGTAGGAAAAAAGGCGATAGACAAAGGCCAGAAGATTAACTTATAAAGCACTCTGTTCCATCCAGTCTAGGAAAGCCCAAGGAGAATACATGAAAGGGAAGCGATAAAGAGTAAAAGGAAGTTTTTGGAAAGATAAAGCAAGCTGGATTTGACTGGTTTCTGAAAGGCAGACACCCCAGGAGAAGCTAACGATATTAAAAATCTCCTGCTATCAAATGGATGGAGAGAGAGGGGTTCTGTACAACGCAGATTCTCACCTATCCTGGCTGCGCAGATGTGGGAGTGGGTAAGAGGGTAGCACACAGACTGCCTGTAGGTTGTCTTGAATTTGCTGAGGTTTCTAAACCTACCCAGCACCCTTCAGTCAGACACACAATTGTTTCAGGAGGATTCTTGCTAGGGACGTACAATTCAACTCTTCTTATCAAAAGGCAAAGCATAGATTGTTACTTTTAATTACTACTAAGGACTTTGCAAAAGGCATTTGTTCACTTTTGGCCTAGCCTAACAGTAGTGGCCTGGATAAAGATTCTTATTCTTCTTTCCTAAGCTAGTATTAATGGTTTAAATGCAAGTGTATTGATTTCTATGCAGACTTAAGCACATATTACTCATTACTTGGGCTTGTGCTAGGTCTGCAGCCTGCACCGGTCAGCATGGTCTGTCAATCACTGACCACGGCTGCATTATCAACAAACTTAAGATTTCCCCTTTTTTGTCCAGGGTTTGAAGTGGTAGATGATCTGGCCAGGATCTCGAGGAACTTGGGTGAGCTTCCTCACCTGTAAGATCGTTGGTTCTGCAGTAATGGGAGATGGATCTGCTGGTGCCGGCCAGCTTGGGACAGCTAGAAATCCCCTCTCTCAAGCTCAGCCAAGAGCATGCTGGCCAAATGCTTGTAGCTATAATTACTGCAAATGGGTGTGACTATTTAAGAAATTATTTGAGCAATGCTTTGCCATTTTATAGAAGCTCACTTAAAGCAATTCTATAATTGACACTGGTCTTTGGATGTAATAAAGACATTTGGGGCAAGTTACTAACATGCTCAATGTCCAACACAAAGGAGCAGCATTTTTTGGACCTTAGTGTCCACAGTGGGAGTTAGGCAGGAGTTAGGCACCAGGGTCCTTCTCAGAATTAGCCCTACCTGTCTTGCCCAAAGTCTGTAGCTGAGCAGGGAATTCAATCCAGATCTCCCAAGTCCCAGGACGGTGACTTAATCTAGAGATTAAGTGCTGCAGGGTCAGGCAAAAATCAGGTAAATGGCTTTTGTTTGTTTTTTCCTCCCATATCTTCTCCTGAGTCTCTGCAGGGATTTGGGGCATAACCAAGAAATTCTGCCTTATGCCAACTACCTTCAAAAGCTTTGAATTTTTCTTGTGTGAGCTTGCTTTGTGGGCCTGATAGGACTTACCAAATGTATCTGTGGTTAGCAGCCTTTGCCTAGAGCAAAGCCCCTGTGTGCTGAGTACTGATGATCAGGTACACGGTAAAAAAGCTTGTGCCCCAAAAAGCTTGCAATCCAAGGATCAAACGCCATGGCGTGTACAAACGCCCCAAATAGCCAAGACAAAGAGGCACAGTCAAAGGATAAAGTGGCTCAGTGAAGGTCACAGCAGGGGTCTGAACAGAGGTGTGTGCTGGATATTGGGACTCGGAGCAAGAGCAAAACTTTGGGTTTGGAAAAATAAGTTGCCAGATACAACTACTTTGTTCAACAAAATTACAGCCTGTGGCTGAGAGTATGTGGGACCTGTCATGGGCTGGGATTTCAGAAAACAATGTGATGCATTTCCAGAGTGTCTCCAGAAAACCTGTTTCAATCTGGACCTTGGAATGAATATGTAGAAGTTGATCTGGGATCACCAGGCATAAACAAAAGGCTAGCAGCTATCAAACAAGATACTCTCTTCTTTCCTACTGCGCTGCCCTAGGTGCAAACTGGAGACATGGAGGCAAAACATACTTGTTCTCCAAACTTAAAACCCTTCTCCTCCACAATACCTACTAGAAAATGCTGGCTGTGAGGCAGCCAGTATACTGAGACCATTGCCTGTTGGAGTAACCAACGCTGTCTCATCTCCTCTGCTATTCTGGATTCATCCTCTGTCTCTTGCCTTATA